AAAAAAAAAAAAAAAAAAAAAAAAGAAAGAAAGAAAGGAAAGAAGAAAGAAAGAAAAGAAAAAAAAGAAAAGAAAAGAAAGGCAGGCCTGGATGTGGCCGGGCATGGTGGCTCATGCCTGTAATCACAGCACTTTGGGAAGCCAAGGCGGGTGGATCACTTGAGGTCAGGAGTTCAAGACCAGCCTGGCCAACAAGGTGAAACCCCATCTCTACTAAAAATACAATAATTAGCCAGGTGTGGTGGCACGTGCCTGTAATCCCAGCTACTTGGGAGACTGAGGCAGGAGAATCGCTTCAATTCGGGAGGCAGACGTTGCAGTGAGCAGAGATCACACCATTGCACTCCAGCCTGAGCAACAGAGTGAGACTCCGTCTCAAAAACAAAAAAAGAAAAGAAAAGCCTCCATGTAATGAGCTCTGTGTAAAGTAATGTTGGTGAAAGTGGACCCAGACCCTACCCACTTAGATCAAAGGCTCACAGCATTCAATTCCAAATTGGTTCAGTCATACACTCTCTGTAGGAGATCGCTCACAGTGGTGGGAGAAACTATGGGGAAAGGAGCAGGCCTTCTGAAAAGTCAGAAGGCTCTGCATAGCTTCGGGGGAGAATAAGCTGAAGGCAGCAGCTGTTCTCTCACCTTGAGGCAGAGGGCCAGGAGTAGATACAACACAGTGTAGGGGAATTCATCTTAAATTGGTTTGTTTACTCAGGTTGTCCAGAAACCACCCTTGGGGAACAATAATGTTAATTACCTGAAGATTTCGTTTGCTCCAGGCTGTACTGAATAAAAGCAAGCAGGTCCAGCTGTTCTAGGCTGTGGCTCTCTCTTCTTCACCACTAGTGCTGGGCGGCCCCCTCGCTGCTTTTACACTGCATACATGTGTCTGAGTACTCCTTTCATCTGTTGCTCATCCAGGGTCTGCGGGATGGGCCCAGCAACTCTCTTACCCTCCATCCCAAAGCACCCTTCGAGCCTTCAACGGAGAAAAAAGGCAAAGCAAAAATATGCACAACCTCACTAAGAATCAGATAAACGCAAAACAAAACCAAAAAGAAATGCCATTTTACACCCAACCATCTGATAATGCCAAGGGCTGGCACGGATGTGAAGTGAGGGAATTCTCATACACTGCCGGGAATGTAAATTGGCACAACCTTTTTGTAAAACAGTTTGGCAGTATCTAGTAAAATTGAAGATGCATATACCTTATTACTCAGAAATTCCACTCTCAGTTTGCACCTACGAAAACTCCCACATACGCACAAGGACTTGCGTATGAGAATGTTCATACCAGTACTGTTTGTAATAGTGAAAAGCTGGAAAAAACTTAAATGTTCAGCAACAAGAGAATGAATACATAAATAAAGATCTATTCCTAAAATGGATTTTTTTTTGACAGGGTCTCGCTCTGTTGCCCAGGCTGAGGTGCGGTGGCATGATCACAGCTCACTGCAGTCTCAACCTCCTGGGCTAAGCGATCCTCCTACCTCTCAGCCTCCTGAGTAGCTGGGAGCACAGGCACACCCCGCCATGCCCAGCTAATTTTATTTTATTTGTGTAGAGATGGGGTCTCACTATGTTGCCCAGGCTTGTCTTGAACTCCTGGACTCAAGTGATCCACCCACCTTGGCCTCCCAAAGTGCTGGGATTACACCTTCCCAGTTGGAATGTTTTAAAGCAGTGAAAATGAATGGTCTACACATAGCCACATGAATAAATCTTATTAATATATTAAGTGAAAAAAGCAAAAGGTACAGAAGAATACACACATTTTAATACCATTTATATAAAGCTCAAAATATGTGAAATGCCACTAGCTATTGTTTAAGGATATATAAATAAGTAGTGTAAGTATATAGATACATAAGGAAATGAAAACTCTCAAATCTTAATTTTTATTTGAAGTGGTCACTTCAGGGGCTGTGGCGGGGGAGAGAGATGCAACTGGGGAAGAGTACATAGGGGGCATCAACTATATTAGTAATATTTTATTTTTTATGCTGGGTGGTGGGGATAGGTATGTTTGAAATGCAATCCTTTAAGCATGAAATAACTCTTCAAAAATGAAATATTTCAGGCTACATGTGGTGGCTCAGCTTGTAATCCCAGCACTTTGGGAGGCCGAGGTGGGTGGATCATCTAAGGTTAGGAGTTCGAGACCAGCCTGGCCAATGTGGTGAAACCTCATCTCTACTAAAAATACAAAAATGAGCCAGGGGTAGTGGCAGGTGCCTATAATCCCATCTACTTGGGAGGCTGAGGCAGGAGAATTGCTTGAACCCGGGAGTGTGCCAAGATCACGCCACTGCTCTACAGCCTGGGCAACAGACCTAGCTTCTGTCTCAAAAAAAAAATTTTTTTTTCATAATTTTTAATAAAAGACAAGACAATATAAATTGGTAGTGATTTAAGTTATTCTACTTTTCCTGAGGCCCAGTGCAGGAAAACAAGGTTTCCATTCTTGTTCCAACAAGACCATTTTGGTAAGCTGCAAAAAGAGAAGACTTTGATGCTATTTCTTAGCCAGTTTGCAACACCTGAGAGGTGAGCATGGAAGCTCTTGCATATATTCAGTTCAGAGAACGGGTTCCTGTTTTATGTCCAGAGTTTGTCCCAGATTTCACTATGATGTCAACTTTCCAGGGAGAAGTACATAAAATAAAAAGTTAAACCCCCCTCAGCCCTTTACCCAATCCCATATTTCAGAGGTAATCTCCACTGACAGTACTCTTCCAGACATTTTCCCTGTGTATATACAACTACACAGATACACACACCAAGTTAATTTTGGTCAGGTGCAGTGGCGCCTTCCTATAATCCCAGCACTTTGGGAAGCCAAGGCCAGAGAATTGCTTGAGGTCAGGAGTTCAAGACCAGCCTGGGCAACATAGTGAGACCCCCTCTCTAGTTAAAATTTAAAAAAATTAGCTGTGTGTGGTGGCACAGTGGCATGTACCTGTAGTCTCAGCTACGCAGGTGGTTGAGGTGGGAGAATCACTTGAGCCCGGGAGGTCAAGGCTGCACTACATTACTGCACTACAGCTTGGGCGACAGAGCAAGACCCCATATCAGAAGTGACATTTTTTAATTAAAAAATTTTGGCCAGGCATGGTGGCTCACACCTGTTATCCCAGCACTTTGAGAGACCAAGGCAGGTGGATCACCAGGTCAAGAGATCAAGACCATCCTGACCAACATGGTGAACCCTTGTCTCCACTAAAAATACAAAAGTTAGCTGGGCGTGGTAGCACGTGTCTATAATCCCAGCTACTCAGGAGGCTGAGGCAGAAGAATCCCTTAAACCGGGAGGTGGAGGTTGCAATGAGCCAAGATGACGCCACTGCACTCCAGCCTAGCAACAGAGTGAGACTTCATCTCAAAAAATATATATATTTTATTATTATTATTATTATTTTTTAAAGACAGGGTTTCACCATGTTGGTCAGACTGGTCTTGAACTCCCGACCTCAGGTGATCCGCCCGCCTTGGCCTACAAAGTGCTTGGATTACAGGCGTGAGCCACCATGCCCGGCCTATTATTTTATTATTTAATTAATTTATTTATTGAGATGGAGTTTCACTTTTGTTGCCCAGGCTGAAGTGCAATGACATGACCTCGGCTCATTGCAGCCTCTGCCTCCCGGGCTCAAGCGATTCTCCTGCCTTACCCTCCCGAGTAGCTGAGATCACAGGCACACAACATCACGTCTGGCTAATTTTTTGCATTTTTTTAGAGGTGGGGTTTTACCATGTTGGCCAGGCTGGTCTCGAACTCATGACCTCAGGTGATCCACCCTCCTCGGCCTCCCAAAGTGCTGGGATTATAGGCATGAGCCACCACGCCCAGCCTAGGATCATATTCTAGATATGAAAATTTCAAACAATACATAGTGATGAAATTCTTCACAAACTAGAGTGATAAAGCCTTTCACAAGTTTGCTCACTACCCTCCACCCTGCACATACACACCACACACACACATACACACCCATGCTCTTAATCCCAGACCCCTCCCTGGAGATAAACTACTGTTATGTCCAGTGTACCTCCTTCCAGATTCATTTATTCCTGTGAACAAACAGGTTGTTTAGTGGTTTTGTGTGTGGTTGACACACAAATAGTTCTAAACTGTACATAGTATTCTGCAACTTACTCTTGGACATGTATGTACATCATAACTATCTCATTCAGTCTTTCACTTTGCTGATATTTATTATGTGATGTGTGCTCTTCCAGGGAGAGTACTGAACAAGATAGACACCGTCTTTTCTCTTAGAGATTACATTCTGGTAAAACATTCAAACAATAAACATGTAAATAAAGAATAGAATTTCATGTAGTACTAAGTAATATGATGAAAATAAAATGGAGGTTGGGCAGGGGAGGTGTATTTTTATTTTTTTCGAAACAAAGTTTCACTCTTGTTGCCCAGGCTGGAGTGCAATGGCACCATCTCATGATCAGAGGCAACCTGCACCTTCTGGGTTCAAGCGATCCTCCTGCCACAGCCTCCTGAGTAGCTGGGATTACAGGCATGTGCCACCATGCCTGGCTAATTCTGTATTTTTAGGAGAGACGGGGTTTCTTCATGTTGGTCAGGCTGGTCTGGAACTCCTGATCTCAGGTGATCCGCCTGCCTCAGCCTCCCAAAATGCGGGTGTATTTTTTTTTAACTATTACATAGTATTCACAGGATAGATTAACATAGCTTGGGGGTGTGACTTTAAAACTTTTCTACTTGCTTCCTAGAGTAAGAAACACATTCTACACTGCTATCCAAAACTCATCATAGAAACATACACGCACACAAAACCAAAGCACAGATACACAACAGGGCAAATGTTTCACAAAATAACACTTTCTCTTACTAAGGGTGATGCACTGAAATTTTGTATTCTGCTCTATTTCATTTTTTAAAAATGCTAACCATGATCTGCTAAATTGTTTTCAGTGTCCACTAAGAAATTATGACCTCAGTTTCAGAAATATTGCTTTATGTACCCAGTCATCTTCTGAGATTTATACAGATTGCTCATAATTTTCTCCTGTTTTTTAAAAAAATGCTGCAGTGAACGAGCTGCTTTACACTCATTTTATGACTATTTCTGAGAGCAAGATCCCTGATTGTGTAATTGCTATTTACTTAAAATTCTGGTAAAATGTAGCCATTATACTGGAAAATTAAATTCTAATCCTGGACCTGTCACCATCATGATGTATAAACTTTGGGCAAGTCCCTGCACCTCTCTGGACCTCAATTTCCCCATCAGTAACCTGCTGATCCTATACCCAGGAGTGTGCTGTAAGTTAAAAGTAAATGCCCCACCCCCTGAGTCAGAGTGGGCAGGACCTCTCACCAAGCCCTTCTCCCCCTTTTCCGTTCGCTGTTTCTGGTTCCTTGGAAGCAGCCCAGAGAGAAGGGAAAAGGCAGGTCTGGGCAGGAGGGCGCAATGAAGGGTGGGGCAGAGGGCGGGCAGGAGGGAGGCCGGCCCCCTAGTAGGAAATGAGACAGAGTAGGAATAACACTTTATAAACGCGACACCCTCTTCCTCCTCCCATCTCCTGGCATCCTTCCATCCTCCTCTGCCCAGCCTCCACCCCTCCCAGACAGTCCTCACTTCTCTTTTCCCTAGGCTGCCGCCAGCGGAGCCCCCAGCCTGCCAGAGCCAGGAACCCAGGTCCAGAGCCTTAACCTTAGGATGTTGACAACATTGCTGCCGATACTGCTGCTGTCTGGCGGGGCCTTTTGTAGCCAAGAAGCCTCAGATGGTGAGTCGGGGGCACATCTCCTGCCTCGGGATGGTTCTGGAGAATCCATCTGAATACATGGCAAGACCAGAATACATCTCACAGTGTCTGTGTCTGCAACTAGCTAGATCTCTCTACAGGGCAGGCAGAGTCCTGGGGACTGGTTCGTATCTCAAAGCCAAGGTGAGTTAGTACAGTTAAGCCCCTGAAGAGGGAGAGATGAAGGAGGCTGGGGAAAACAGAATGACTGGAAAAATGAGAAAGAAACCAGCAGAGAGGGTAGGAGAATCAGCCTCAGGGAGAGGGCAGAAAGGGGAACTGAGGGTGATGGTAGCTAGGGATACATCTAGGAAAGACGGGAAGAGATTCAGATGAGAAGAGAAATGGAGGGAATGGGAAGACTCTGGGAGAACTGATGGGAGAACTGGGGGAAGACTGGGACAGAGAGAGGTGAGGGGAGGCTAGGGAAAATGGAAGACTGGGTACAACTGATGGAACTGGGGAGAAAGAGATGCTGTGCCTAATAGGAGAACTTATGGGCAACCAGGCTGCCTGAAGTGGCCCTGTTTAAGCAGAAAAGGGAGTTATTACCCTCCCTTATAATTGCACAAGGGCCTCCTTTCCCGCCCCTCACAATCCCCCTAAGAGGGGCAGCAAATAATAACCAGTATTCAATAGTGCTCACTATGGTTAATATATGTATTGACCCATTTAACTCCCACAGACCCTGAAAGGTGGGTAATATTACTATCTCCATTTTATAGAGGAGGAAACTGGGTCACAGAGTCGTTAAGGACCCTGTCTAGGGTTATCCATAAATACACTTATTCACATCTATAGATACAGAGCACAGCTTCTGAAATGCAAACACAGTCAGGACCCGCCCACACAAACAGATTTACAACCCTGGACTCATTCAAATGTGTTCTGGGCATCAACTCTGTGCCAGGCTCTTTTCTGGATGTAGGAGGCAGAGATTACCAGGCATGCTTCCATAGCCTAGAGGAGTCCAGTGTAGCCTGTGTGTGTTTGGAGACAACCAGGTAGAATCTTGTGAGATACACACTAACATATGGTGGTCTGGGACCACTGAAACAGACCCACTGTATCTCGAAGGAGAGGGCAACTGAGCTGGGTCTTCTTATTTATTTATTTATTTTGAGATGGAGTCTTGCTCTGTCACCAAGGCTGGAATGCAGTGGCATGATCTCGGCTAACTGCAATCTCCACCTCCCGGGTTCAAGTGATTCTCCTGCCTCAGCCTCCAGAAGTAGCTAGTATTACAGGGCATAGCGCCTGGCTAATTTTTGTATTTTTAGTACAGACGGGGTTTCGTCATGTTGGCCAGGCTGGTCTTGAATCCCTGACCTCAAGTGATCCACCTGCCTCGGTCTCCCAAAGTGCTGGCATTACAGGTGTGAGCCACTGCATCCAGTCTCTGAGCTGGGTCTTAAATCATGAATACACTTTGGCAGGCAGAAAAAGGGAGGCAGAGGAACCCTAACATGCTATTCATGTGTCAGCCAAAGGCAGCATGAGGAACCCCAACTAGTCTGATACATAAGCAGCAGGAAGCGGCCGGAAAAGGCAGCAGGGGCCAGGTCTCTAGCAGCCTTGAATCCCAACTAAAGACTCTGGACTTGATCCTGTGGGGAGGCAGGGTCATAGAGTGGCTAAGAGTGCTGGACTTGACTGCCTACATGCAAACCTTGGCTCTGCTATACTATCCCTGCCTCCGTTTCCCATGTAGACTGAGGTTAATAATAGTAGCTACTTGCATTAAGCCATTGGGAAAAGGCACAAAGATAATAACGTATGTAAAGTCCATTGCCCAGGCCATAATAAGCACTTAATGGGCAGTGGCTCTGATTAGTTTTGATTAATGAAGGGGCGGGGGGGGGGGGGGGGGGGGCGGGGGGGGGTCGTAGAGCACTGGAAGATTTTAAGTAGGAAAAGGACAGGTTCTCATCCCGGTCAGGTGGAGGTCGGAATAGCGATCGGGCAGATGAAGCAGAAAGTTACGACCCCAGTCCAGATGAAAACGGATGAAGCCTGAACCAGGGCAGTGGAAGAGGAGATAGAGAACAGGAGATGGAATTGGGATTTTATTCAGGTCAGGATTTGTTAACCAACAGGAAATGCGAGGAGGGAGAGCTGAGTGTGAAAAAGGAGGCAGAGAGGAGTGTCTCTTCCACTGCAGGCCTCAGTTTCCTCATCTGTAAAACGGAGATAATAATCCCTGTCCTGCCTTCCTGGCAGAGTTACTGTGAGCGTCAAATGGGAGAAGCGACGGGAAGGCACATTATGGTTTATGAAGGGTCTAGAAGGTGGGCGGCCAGCCTCGAAGTAGGGGGTTATTATCTCCCGCTGCCCGCCGCCCCCTCCCACGCCGGCCCAGGCTGACGCTGACTCTGCCCGCAGGCCTGCAAAGTCTCCACATGCTCCAGATCTCCTACTTTCGCGATCCCTATCAAGTGTGGTACCAGGGCAACGCGTCGCTGGGGGGACACCTGACGCACGTGCTGGAAGGCCCAGGCACCAACGTCACGATCCTCCAGCTGCAGCCCTTGCAGGACCCCGAGAGCTGGGCGCGCATGCAGAGCAGCCTGCAGACCTACCTGTTGCAGTTCCACGGCCTCGTGCGCCTGGTGCACCAGGAGCGGAGCTTGGACTGTGAGTGGGCGCGCTGCGGGGACCTGGCCTGGCGGGTGGAGGCGGGGCCTGGCGGGTGGAGGCGGGGCCTGGCGGGTGGAGGCGGGGCCTGGCGGGTGGAGGCGTGGCCTGGCGGGTGGAGGCGGGGCCTGGCGGGTGGAGGCGGGGCCTGGCGGGTGGAGGCCGGCAGGGACTTGCAGGGACCCTGCCGCCACTGGAGCTCTGTGGCGCCTGGGCCTTTAAAGATTGCCGGGTGCGGGCTGGAGAGAGGCAGGTGTCCCCTCTAAGAAAGCCCCGACTCCGGCGGTCGTCCTGCTGGCATAAACTCTTGGGGCAGACCCTGTTGGGAGGCCCTGACACCGTGACCTCGAAGGTCCCCTGAAGACTCCTCACCCCTGGCTTCACAGTCCTTCTCCTCCCAAACCCCAGGACTTTACCCTCCACCCTCCAGCCACCTCTCCTCATAGAAGTTAACGACTTCGCTGTTAGCTCCCCTCAGGACCCCAAATCCTCTCCAAAGACCCCAATTTCTTCTCTCAAAGCCCCGCTCCCTCCCCATTACAACCCCAACTCCTCAAAGACTCCAGTTTCTTTTCTCAAAGCCCCACCTCCTCCCTCCCCTCACGGCCCTTAACTCCTTTCTCTCCTAGTCTCCCCCGCCCCCACCCCGCCTGTTTTTTGAGACGAAGTCTTGCTCTGTTGCCCAGGCTGGAGTGCAGTGGCATGATCTCGGCGCACTGCAACCTCTGCCTCCCGGGCTCAAGCGATTCTACTGCCTCAGCCTCCCAAGCAGATGCGATTACAGGCGCATGCCACCACGTCTGGCTAATTTTTTGTATTTTTAGTAGAGACAGGGTTTCTCCATGTTGGCCAGGCTGGTCTCGAACTCCTGACCCCAGGAGATCCACCCAACTTGGACTCCCAAAGCACTTGGATTACAGGTGTGAGCCACCATACCTGCCTCCCCCCACACTTTTTTTTCTATCACCAGTTGAACAAGGCCTGACAGTTTCCCTTTTTCATCATAGTCCCTGCTTTCTTAGCCTCTAACAGTCTAACTCCAAACCCCTCCTCACAGCACCAGGCCCTTCTCCCCACAGTTCCCTGACCTAGACTCCCCTCTCCTTACACCACTGACCCTCGCCTTCCTGTGTTCTTTTTCCCTCGCTGGGCCTCCCCCCACACCTGGCACCTTCTCTGCACAGTCCCCTGACCCTGACTCCCCATCCACAGTTCCTCTGACCATCCGCTGCTTCCTGGGCTGTGAGCTGCCTCCCGAGGGCTCTAGAGCCCATGTCTTCTTCCAAGTGGCTGTGAATGGGAGCTCCTTTGTGAGTTTCCGGCCAGAGACAGCCTTGTGGGAGGCAGGCACCCAGGTCCCCTCAAGAGTGGTCACCTACACCCTGAAGCAGCTCAACGCCTACAACCGCACTCGGTATGAAATGCGGGAATTCCTGGAGGACACCTGTGTGCAGTATGTGCAGAAACATATTACCACGGAAAACATGAAAGGTATGATGGGACTGGGGCCCAGGCCTGAGAGCTGGGGAGAGGGCGGGTTCCAGACAAATGGATGGACCTAAAGGATGCATCCCCAGAGCAACAAGAGACCTGCAGCTGGGGATTTGGGACAGAACACACTCTGCTTAAGTCAGTTGGTGAACGGGTCCTTTTCCTCTAAGGCAGAAACGCTTTGGGGTTTGACTCAAATCATGGACTCCTTGGGGGTCTATTCTTTGGGCTAACTCTCTGCATGTTTTACAGGAAGCCATACAAGCCGCTCCTATACTTCGCTGGTGCTGGGCGTCCTGGTGGGCTGTTTCATCATTGCTGGTGTGGCTGTGGGCATCTTCCTGTGTACAGGCGGACGGCGATGTTAATTACTCTCCAACCCCTTCAGAAGGGGCTGGATTGATGGAGGCTGGCAAGGGAAAGTCTCAGCTTACCGTGAAGCCAGACTCCCCAACTGAAACACCAGAAGGTTCAGAGTGACAGCTCCTTTCTTCTCCCACATCTATCCACTGAAGGTTGGAGGAAGGGAGATGGAGAGGAGAAGTGGACAAAGTACTTGGTTTGCTAAGAATTTAAGAACTTGCATGCTTTGGTGAATTGGTCTGATAAGTGAATGTTTATCTGTCTCTGTGGAAAACAGATGATGGAATTGGGACAGGGGGCCTATGGCCCACCATCCAAAGACAGACAGAATCACCTGAGGCATTCAAAAGATACAACCAAATAAACAAGTCATCCACAACCAACATACAACATTCAATGCTTCCAAGTGTGTCAGACTTGGGATGGGACACTGGTATAATAGGGTAAAAAGAAGTAACATGAAGAAGTTGTGGAAATGTAAAACCCAAGTCATATGACAGTAATGAATTATTAATCAGTTAATAATATTAATAAATTTATTATATTTAAGGCATTGTTATTTCCTTCACTTTGCAAATCTTCTGGAAAAGTAACCTGTACCCATTTCTTCTGCTTCCTTATTTCTTACTCACTGTTAGACCCTCTGCAATCTGACTTCTCTGGACACTGCTGTAAGATCACCAGTAACCACTAATTGTCAAACCGTCACCCTCTGTGGTATCTGCAAATTTACAGGACTAGAACTCCCTTTTTACCTTAACTTCTGAGATACCATACTTCAACTTTTAAAAACTACTCTGTTTCATTTTTTTTTTCAATCCCTTTGACGATGTCATCTTACTCGATTCACCCTAGAAATGCTGGCTTCCTTAGAATTCCATTTTTTTGGCTCCTTTTGTTCCCCTTTGAACTATACCCTTTCTGAGTGACCTACTGACCTCCATGGCTTCAAATACTATCTACCTGTGGTTTCCATGGAGAAGCAATATAATTTGATCTTTAAGAGCATGTGTTTTGTCAGCCAGGCATGGTGGCTCACGCCATAATCCCAGTGCTTTGGGAGGCCAAGGCGGGAGGATCGCTTGAGGTCAGGAGTTCCAGACCAGCCTGGCCAACACGATGAAACCCTGTCTCTACTAAAAATACAAAAAGTAGCCAAGTGTGGTGGCACTTGCCTGTAATTCCAGCTACTCTGGAGGCTGAGGCTGGAGAATCGCTTGAACCTGGGAGGCAGAGGTTGCAGTGAGCTGAGATCACACCACTGCTCTCCAGCCTTGGGTGACAGAGTAAGACTCCATCTCAAAAAAAAAAAAAAAAAAAGAGTTGATGCAAACGAGAGGCCTGGAGATCAGAAGTCACTGCTTTATTTGCTGACTAAACATATATTATCTTTTTGTTTTTTGAGACAGAGGCTTGGTCTGTTGCCCAGGCTAAAGTTGATGGCGTGATCATGGCTCACTGCAGCTTCAACCTCCTGGGTTCAAAAACAGAACAAAAGAAAAATAAAATAGAAAAGTAAAAACAACAAAAACCCATAAATGTTCACTATATCTCACATCATTAATTTATTTACTCATTTAATAAATGTTTGTCAGAAACTTCCATATAGAAGGCTTTATGCTATGTACTTTGGAAGACACAAAATGATTAGGATATGATCCTTCTCAAGGAGCCCAGTCTTTCCTTCAGAAAATAAAACATATACAAAAATGAACAACACAAAGCAAGATGTCTCGTATAATTGGAAGAAATACACAAATAAAAACTTTATGCTGGCCAGACGTGGTGGCTCACACCTACAATCTCAGCACTTTGGGAGGCTGAGGCAGGTGGATCATGAAGTCAAGAGATAGGGACCATCCTAGCCAACATGGTGAAACTACATCTCCACTAATAAATAATACAAAAATTAGCCAGGTGTGGTAGCTCGTGCCTGTAGTCCCAGCTCCTTGGTAGGCTGAGGCAGGAGAATCACTTGAACCTGGGAGGAGGAGGTTGCAGTGAGCTGAGATTGTGCCACTGCATTCCAGCCTGGGCAACAGAGTGAGACTGAAAGAAAGAAAGAGAGAGAGAAAGTGGGGGAGGGAGAGGGAGAGAGAGAGAGAGAAAAAGAAAGAAAAAAAGAAAGAAAGGAAAATGTTATGCTGTGACTTACTCTTGTAACTATCATTTACATATTGCTATATAGTTTTTGGAATTCCATAATTTGTGGTTATCATCTAATAAACTCTCTTTGGTCTTGTAAGATAGATATTCTCATTTTAGATTAGGAAACATGTTTAGGGAGAATAAGAAAGTTAGTAGCTGATCTGGTTTGGATATTTTGTCCCTGCAAATCTCATGTTGGAATGTGACCTCCCTTGCTAGAGATGGGCCTACTGGGAGGTGTTTGGGTCATGGGCGCAGATCCCTCTTGAATAGCTTAACACCATCTCCTTGGTAATGAGTGTGTCCTTGCTCAGTTAGTTTACATGTGAGATCTGATTGTTTACAAGGGTCTGAGACCTCCCCTCCTCTCTCTTGCTTCCTTCCCTCTCCATCTTATATGCCTGCTCCCGCTTTGCCTTCTACAATGATTGAAAACTTCCTGAGGCCTCACTGGAAGAAGATGCTGGTGTCATGCTTCCTGTACACCCTGCAGAAATGTGAGCCAAAATGAACTTATTTTCTTTTATAAATTAGCCAGTTGCAGGTATTCCTGTATAGCAACACAAGAATGGACTAAGATAGTATCAGAGCCTGGATTCAAACCCATGCCTTTGTGTTCTAGGATTTATGCTTTCTCTCTTCTACTAAAACTGAAGGAATCAGAGGAATCTGGGGGAGAAACATGGTATTTTTGAATGGGCAAGATATGACCATGCCCAGATAGGAAAGACAGACAGAACAGATTCAATAATGAAAACAGAAAAAAAACAGAACAAATTTTAGACATTTCTTAAAGAAGATATACCAGTGGCCAATAAGCACATGAAAAGATGCTCAATGTCAGTAGTCATTATGGAAATACAAATCAAAACCATGAGATACCACTTCATACCATCAAGAATGGCTATAGGAGGATGGGTAGAATCAATATTGTGAAAATGACCGTATTGCCAAAGGCAATCTATAAATTCAATACTATCTCCATCAAAATACCACCATCATTCTTCAC